TAAAGTCCAAAGCAAAGCACGACTCCTTTGCTTTGCAGGGAATTCTGCAACTCCTGGGCCTCTGCAGAGGGGTTTTGGTGAAAATGATGCCCCAGAAAAAGGGTTTTGCAGCCTGTGCTTGGAGAAACGTAGAGACAGAACACCATCATCACCTGGTTTAGTAAACACGGCCTGGCAACCCTACACAAACATGTTCTCCATCCTGCCTTCTCAAAAAATTATGACATTTAAAATGTTCTTGAGCCCTTAAACACAAATCACTTGGAAATACTGCCTTTTTCAGTGCTCTGGTGCTAATTATGGTGGTGAAAAACCTTTTCTCTCCCCCCCCAGTAGAAGTGTCTTTTGGTAGAAATGTTATTTGGAAATGGAAAATTTTAAAGGCAATAATTTTTACAAGGCAGGGCTCCTGTTCTCCTTCCCATCACCTTGCCTTAAATGCAAACAAAGATCAAGAGGACGGATACGTTACGTTTAAATCGCATTAAACTGGGATCAAAACCTGAATTTATTTCCTAACATTTGCTAAAACATCACAGAGCAATGACAGGCACGAGAACAGAAAGGTTTGCTGTCGACCTTACAGCAGCCCTGATTTTTATTTCCCTGCCACGAACATGAGATTAGATCATCCATTATCAACCTCTGAGGCTCCACAAATTTGTCAAGTGCTCCGCAGCAAACCCCCGCTGCAGCAAAGCTGAGAATTCGGGAAGAAATCTTCTGTGGTTCCCATTCCCAACACGTGAATTCGGGCTGTTCATTTGGGAGGGTTGGGAGGGTCCCTGCCTGGCATTTCCACTCTAAATAAACTGCCTTTGGAGTCCTGCAGCCCTCTGGGCTCTGACTTGCTCTGTTATCACATCAGACTTTTCACACTCACACAGACTTGCAAGTGCTCACTGCGGAAACAAATGTACTGGGCTCTGGGTAATTCCCAGCGTGATTTAAGCACTAATTAAACAAAATGGATTTTTATCGTGATTCTTAAATATTTACCCAGTGCAAGGAACATCCCCCAAGATCACCACACACTCACTGAGGAACAGGAGAGTGATGCAATGTTGTGCCTTAGTTAAGACAAGAGAAAGGACAACACTGCCCAGAGAGCAAGTCCACGCAAAGCAACTTGGATTTTATCGAAGTGATTAGTTCTTTCTCTCACTGAATGACTAAATCCTTCCACGCTGACCAAAGGCAGATGAATGTGAGCAGCAGGGACAGATCTTTGGTTCTGTGCTGCCCCCAGCTGTCCTTATTATAATCCTGAACTCAGAGTCAAAGGTTCAGAGGTGATGGTCAAGGGCAGCACCACTGCAAAGTCAGATTAGAGCAAATATAACTTGCATAATGAGTATTTTCTCAGGATCAAATCCTACCTGTATATTGGAGTCACAGCACAAGCTTTGGCTCTCCCCAGGCCCCGCTGCCAAGAGATGGACCTTCCTCTCCACACCCTGAATATAAAAGGTACCACCCCCCCTTCCACCAGAAACATTGATGAGATTGCTCCTCACCTCCTGCAGGCAGAGTGAGATTCGTTTAATTGAACTGATTAGCTCTTTAGGCTACACTGGGTGATTCTGCCCAGCAGAGCTTCCCTTTGGTGACAATTCTCCAGGAGTTTAGACGAGCAGTTGACCTTTGGAACTCTGAGCTTCCCTGTGAGAACTGCCCTGCAGGAAAACCAAGGGTGCTGTGCAAGCTAAAGCTTCATTTTTTGGTGCCTTCCAGCTGATATTTGCCACAAGTTTCAGGGTGTGATCACATGTTTGATCAAGCCTCGTGCCCCATCTGCGTCACTCCAAAACAGGACTTGAGGTTCACCACTGAACACAGGCAGATTTGAGGATTAACATGAAACCAGTTTATTCTGTGTGGCTTTTTTTTGCCAAAACCTTCCCTCAAGTAGATCCCAGAGAGGATTAGGCACCTACTCAGAGATTTTTTCTAAAAGCCAGGCCCATCTTGGCAGCTGAGCTGTGCCAGGGCTGGCAGCACCTCTCCTGGATCCTCTCTGCCCAGCTGGGACAGGAGCAGTGCCCTCGGAGGGCTGTGGCTTTGTTTCAGCACAAAATTGCTCAAAACATCTGCAGTGTTGCTTGAAGGAGCTTGTTTGACAGAGCCCCAAAACAGACTGGGAGCATTCCAGTCACCAACTGCATCTGTGCTGGGAGAAACCGTAAGAAAGGCTGGAATCCTGCTTAGGAAAACCAGGCAGCAGTTAAGGAATACTCCAGGGCTGTGCACAACTGTAGGCTGACACTGCTGTGTAAACACGTTAATATTTAATAGCATGTTAATATTTTAATAATGTTCAGTGCAAAATCACCTTCTCTGGTCTCTGATATAGTGGGCCAATGTGGTATATCTGACAGGGAAGTTTTCCAAGAGCCTTTTCAGCCAGGAGAACCAGCATTTCCAGAGCAATGGAAACAAACTCTGGGCCTGGAAGCTGCCAAGGACTCCTTGGAGATGCCATGGACTCCTTGGCATCCTTGCAGATGCCAAGCATCTGCAGCTTCACCTCCTCTGGAGGCAGAGGAGTTCCCAGGTGCCAGCCCAGGACTCCTCTGAGGGAGCTCCAGGAGGTGTTTGGTCCACGTTACAGAATGTGCTGAGTTGGGAGGGGATCATCAGTCCAACCCTCAGCCCTGCACAGGCCCAGCCCCAAGAGTCACCCCCTGTGCCCCAGAGGATCAGCCAAACCCTCCTGGAGCTCTA